CAAAATTGAAAACCCACCACCTGAAATAAATAGACTTAGCATGCAGGCACGCGATTGGTAAATCGAATGCAGCGTGCCTAAAAACGCTGCGCCGGTTCTGCCTACGTTCTCTGCAGGACCCGTCGTCGCTTCGGTAGTGGTCCCGATCGGCCTCGCTCATGGCTCACTAGGCCTGTCTGACTCAGGCACTGGCGATCGCATGTGCTACAGCACAATGCGCTCGACGTCGATGGAGTACAACCCATCGGTGCTTGCCGCTTCTTCTCTGCATGTATGAGGTCTTTCTCCCGCACTTCGGCAGCTGCCATGCACGCCGATCAACCGCCTCGATTCCCATGACCTGCAATCAAGATTAGAACGTGTGAGGCTCACTTTAATCATGTCCTGGTAACGTAATTTTGGTTCCCCTACATACCGCTTCCCAATACTCCGCTGAGCATATAAGAGTTGTTTCGGTGTCTGCGTCGAATCTATAGGGCTCACATAACCGAGCCACCTAAGGTGTCTCAGCAAAAGTATGCAGTCCACTGCATACATCCCACTTCGGTGCAACACTTCCGTGTCCGCAACTCTGTCGCATCAATCGATTCGGAAAATCCGTCGCAAGCACCATTGATAGAACCGATCGAAATATTGTACATCCCGACGGTACATCGTCCACGTTTCACTGCCGTATAGAAGAATGGACAGCACCATGGATTTGTACACCGTCAGCTTCGTGCCAATGGTAAGCTGATGGTTGTTCCACACTCGGTACTCTAGCTTCCCAAATTCCGCCGCTGGCTTCGACACGCGAATACGCAGCTCACTGTGTATCTGCGATTAGTCGACATCACACTCCCAAGGTAGCTGAAACGGGAGGTGGTTTCCAATACTTCAGCACCAATGCTGATTCGCGGCAATATTGAAGATTGCAACTCCGGTGAAGGCTGAAAGAGACAGACAGTTTTGCTTGTGTTGATGCTGAGCCCAAATTTTGCCGCTGTCGAAGCCAGAGCACTAGTCATATGCTGCAACTCATCCGCGCTGTGTGAAAACGACGCACAGTCGTCCGCAAACAGCAACATACGGATAGTTGTCACACAGACTAGAGTTCTCGCACCGAAACGACGGATGTTCAGCAACCCACCATCAATACTGTGCTCCACACGAACACCGTAAGCACAAGCGGCATAAAAAGCACAAGATATCATTGCATGAAGATATATATTAAACAGGGCAGCAGTTAAGACATAGCCTTACTTCACACCAGAGACAACTGCAAAGTCATCCGAGGTCTCTCTACTCAGCAGCACCCTCGCTAGCATATCACTGTGCAGACATTCAATTAAACTTACAAACTTACGCGGGCAATCAAACTTACCCAACACCAGCCACAATCCCTCCCGGTTCACCATATTAAATGTCTTTGTGAAATAAACAAAAAACGAGTACAACGGCTGGTGTCGTTCTCTACCCTTCTCTTGCAACTGACGAGCCGCAAACACCACATCAATAGTGCTGCGACCCGAACGGAATCCACATTGCTCTTCCGCCACGTTCGGTACCACAACCTGACTGACGAGGCGGTTAAACAGGTTTCGGGCAATCACCTTGCCCACACAACTCAGCAAGTTGATGCCACGATAATTCGTGCAACATCGCTTGCTATCTTTGCCCTTGTACAGTGGTAGCACAAGGGCATCCGTCAGCTCAGGAGGCACCTCCTCCTCAATCCATACATGTTGCACCAATTGGTGCAGCGCAGACAACAACGCGAGTCCGCCGTGTTTCAATACTTCAGGCGGGATCCCGTCGGCGCCAGCACACTTGCCGTTTCGCAGCTGAGCAAGTGCTCTCTGCGTCTCATCCAGTGTTGGCGTGTCCCCCATACTCGTCTTCACATCGTGCTGCTTGAGGCCGTACAATGTAGGCCAGTCGATCTCTGAATGATTGTTCAAGAGACAGTCGAAATGTTTTCAACAGATCTGCATTATATCTGGAGTCTGTGTGCAGGTAGCGCCTGAACTACCATCGATCAGCTTCCTCAGTGGCTCCAATCTCGGTCCATACACCGTCTTCAAGAAGTCGAAGAATTACTTGTGTTGGCGGCGTTCGACGTAGCATTCCATCTACTTCGGCTTCTCCATCCACCATGTATTTTTAATGCGACGTAGCTCTCGGGTCAGTCGCCGTCGAAGTTTACGAAACTGACTCTGCTTCCCCCACGTTAATGGGGGTCTGCCACGTGCAGCAAATGCTGCATTCTTTCCCGATACCAATGCGCCAATCGTCGCATTGTTCTAATCAAACCAGTCAGGCCGCATACAGTTTACGCGCCCGATGGTCTCCTCGACAGCAGCTGTCACCTGGTCGCGAATGTGGTGCCACAGGTCGCCCACTGTGTCTACGAAGTTCATATCAAACAGGCGTGCAGCCATCGCCTTCTCCAGCTCAATACGTTTCGCCACAGTACCGAGGGAGAGAATGTTAAATTTACGCCGATTCACGGCGAGAATGCAATAGATAGATTTACGAAAATATATCTACAGTTTGGTGCGCACCAATTTGTGATCAGTGCCACACTCAGCTCCACGCAGTACATGTGTCATGCGCACTTCACGCATATCACGCTGACGTACGATGACACAGTCAAGCAGGTGAGCGTGACCATTCCGTGGGTGCGTCCAAGTTGCTATGTCACTCGCACTCAGTGCAAACCGAGTGTTCGTGATCGTCAGGCCGTGAGTGGCACACAGTGAGAGCAGCCTGTCACCGTTCGCATTCGCTGAACCAATGCCATGCGCACCGATAACATCTGTCCACGCTGATGCATCACGCCCAACGCGCGCGTTGAAGTCACCCAGCAGAAATAGTCGGTCGCTCCTCGGCACAGACCGTATCACGGAGGATAGCTCAGTGTAGAACTGATCACGCGTGTCATCAGGATAACACATGGTCGGACCGTACGTGCTTATAAAAGTAGCAAACTTACCTCTCCCGAGTCGTAGGCGAACAGTCATCAGTCGCGCGCTGATGCCCGTTGGTTCACCCACCAGCTGGCCATTCAGGCGATCGGATATTGCAAATCCGACCCCATGTTCACGTGGTGCTGAGGCGGCGTTCCCCACCCAGTGGAATGTGTAGCCAGCACCTGCTTCATGTAACTTACCTTGCTCAGCGAGCCGAGTTTCACTAAGCGCCGCAATATCGATGTGGTAGCGCGCCAGCTCCATTGCGACCAGTGCAGTGCGTCGCTCGGGCGCTCGCTCGAGTTCCGGTCCAGTAGTGTGCGCACGTTCCAGCACCCGATGCTGAGTGCTTTGCGCGCAGGCATACGATTGCATTGGTGGGCAATCGCACGCGAGGTGGTCGTTGTGCTTCGGAGGTTTGCTTGAGGGACTCCACCCGGAGACTTTGGCTCAATAGCCTGACCCACAAGGCAGTGGGTGGTTTGGAGGTTTGCTTGAGGTACTCCGCCCGGAGTCTTTGGCTCAATAGCCTGACCCACAAGGCAGTGGAGAGCAGATCCAGCTCGGGAATGTGATTGCAGAGACAGATTGGGATCTGCTTGACGGCCGTCACACGCAGCCTTTGAGGTTCTGGAACAATTATCATATGTTTTGCGACCGTAATTGGATAAGCACCTGTGACCACGGCCAGACGCAAGTGGGGTTTTGGCGGGTTTGCACCAATTTGACCAGGGGCTGCCTGGCTTGAGGCGGGCAGTAGCAAACCATTGAACACCCAGAGGTGTCCTCCCACCGTCAGAGACAATGCGTGGCACTCGTGCTCTACGCCAATCGAGCAGTGAGATTATAACCCGTAAACCTGTTGTCTCCCATGGCTAGGTTTTACAGGAAGAGGGCCATGGACCACTTCCTAACCTCCGGAGAGGATGGACTAGGATACTGCCAGGGAGCCCAACCCTGAGAGGAGAACGACTCGGGTCATCAGCCAAAGCCTTCGAGTAAATGAACACCCGAAAGGCAGCGGGTCTAGCATGGTCAGTTAGCGGACTCATGCGGATTGGTGTCCTGGATATTAGCAGGGAGAAGGGCGAAACCCAACTCCCACCCAGCGGTGGCCACGTGGAGGCGCCCAGGACATAAGACTATGGCGCAACAGTAGCAGCAGTGGGTAGACCACCTGTCAGGATCTAGCCACCACCAGCCTCAGCGCACCATAGGCTCTCTCGCCATATATATACATATATATATGTATATATATATATATATATATATATATATATATATATATATATATATATATATATATATGTTAAAACTACACACGTTGGTTCGATACATCAAAGGATGGCAAAGAAAATGTAACGCATTTTTCAGACAACTGTTCACAAGAAGGTGGATAAAACATAATGAGTAAAGAAAAGGAACGTGTCCAAAAAATACGGAGTCACTAATCAATGTACAGGACCGTTACCTAATAAGTTCGTGTGAGGAGGCGAAAGATAATCTTGGGCAAAAACGCAATAGAGAAACAATTAAGCACACCTACGTTATAGTACTTCTTTCAGTCAATGTTATTCCGGTGTCCACTAGCAATTTGAAGACGTGGCAGCAGCAAAGGAAAGCAGCACGACGCGAACGCCTCGTATCCATGCCTCCCTGTTTTATACCATCCTTCATCCAATGAAACCGCTGGAGAAACTTACTAGTTATAACTTTCTACTCATATGTTTGTCATTAGTGTGAGAGAATCGTTACACAGATCTGCCGTTTTCGACGACAAACACACCGGAAGGTTGCGGCGATAGTGATATCCGAAAAACCAGTTATATGACAGATTGAAGAAAATAGAGGCAATAGATTGATGGGGAAGCTGGATTTGCGGGAAAGGCATTTCTTTGCGTTAACTTGCGATTATTGGAGTGGATACTCGTTGGGATTAGTTTTGCCATAAATGATGAAGGCTAAATTAATTTTAGAATACTTTGGGAAAAGATTTACATTCAAATTAAGTGCTATATAATTGAGAAAATTTTTTACTTATTAAGCTACCTCATGAAGTTCTTCGCAAGGAAGTCTTTTCTACAAATCTCAATCATTCCAGGAAAGTGGTTGATTCGTTGGTACTCCTTTAAGGTCATGATTCTCTCCAACGGCAAAAAGATGTCTGTCCAAATCAAATAACTAAATTAAAAAAGTGCTGGCACATAAAGAAACAAAAACCATACGCATCAGCCAAGTCCTCATCATCCTTAATAAGAAATCCAGATTCTTGAACGACGGTGCGAACTAAACAGCATTAGTGCAAAAGAACAAAAGAATACCTAGATCATAACGGGAGTAGGCCAGATTTGCAGTGACTCCATGTTTTATTCTTTCACGAACTTGCTTTGCGGATCTTCTTTCATAGCTTACTTTCGACGTCCGTTGCTGATGACCAGCACTGTTGGATAGGTAATTCAGTACTTGATCTGTGCTTCTTAGGTATCCTATGGTGCGTACCTTGGTCAAGCATTTTTATTTATTAAGAGAGGGTCAACCATCGATGCTAAAGTGCGGTGACTGTGAGGGGCGGGGAATCAAGAAGCGCTCATTCTCCGCATACATTGTCCTACTACACACCTTAGGGTGACGGTGAATAGCACACGGTTTTCAATAATGATATATGCAGAGGAAGGGTGCAGGCACATAAATGCCGGACTACAGGGTAAATAATGTACATGAAAGACATCATACATGCGATATACAAAAACGCTTACATATTTGTCATCAGATAATGTAAAATATCTGCAGTTAGCGGTACTCATTATTATTTGCTATGGTATCTATGACGAAATTTTCTTCACAAAGTGATAATAAAGATTTATCACAGACCGCTAAATTAAAAACTCCGTGTTGCAAATAAATTGGCTCACCTTTCAATGACACAATACTATTTGCTGCACCAAGCTGCAAAATGAAGCCGTTACTATGACACAGAATGCAAGCTTGCAAGTCTTACTGCAGTGCACCCCTGATATATTTGCGATTTAAAATTATTGTATTAGTATAACTTCCCAGGGAATTACAATAGCTATTATTTACTACATAAAGAGTTCTTCGCCGCCAAAAGTCATCACTTCCGAAGGATGAAACGGACCGGGATTCTAACCAATCAGTTAGGCCCATAAGCTGGTGAAGATCGTATGGTACTCTAGGCTAAAAGTTTATTAGTTTGATAGTAAAGGTAAAATTGTATAACTGAAAGACGTACGTGGCGAATATGTCTGCCTGATGATATAAACGTTTGGCAACTTTAACTCCTCTCTTGTTGTCCAAGCGGATAACAATGGGCAATAAATCGCAGTGGCACCATTTTAGAAACGGTCTTCATGGCGGGCGACATGTGTACGTATAAGCGTATGTTGCGTTCCTTTTCCCTTACATTTGCTGACGTGGAGTAGAATGTGACGAAAGTTTACCTAGCGACTGCGACGTAATTCTACAAGCGGTAAGTAGTGCCTATTTTTGCCCTCAAAAGTGACTTTCAAGCAACTTCCTTACGGGCAGGGTGAAAACTTAACTGTTCCAGCAGTTTTAGGATCGCTGTCCTTGTGACGCGCTTTTTTTGACCAGCCATCAAACGCTCCCATTGTCCCGTCGCTGAGCCACGTGGAAGTAGCCTTGTTAGAAGCCTGCTTGGTGTCTTCCCGTGAACACTGGAAGGCTTCAAACGAGGCCTGAGAGAAATGTGGTTGGCCATGTTCCCCGTTTGCTTGTGCACACTCATTTCATCCTCTAACCACATGCAAGAAGCGCATGCAAATACATGAAAATGCGGTGACCTTATTGCTAATCTCTCCTTTTTTGTGTAATCGGATAAATCGGTTACAACGTCCATGTGCTGGAAGCTCTTCTCTTATTGGAAGCACGAAACATTAGGCTAGGTGAGCTAAAGCGTATGTTGTCCCCGGATCCTATGTCTTGACCCTTAGTGGCTTTTGAAGTCTTGGATGGTTACTCGTCAAAAAATTTTGGACGTTACCCAGGTACTTGCCGCCTTCGTACCATTAATTCCTTGTAAATCGTTCAGTTCTTTGATTTCATTAGACGATGGAAGATGCAAGTTGCCGTGCCCGGACTCCTTTTGCTCCCAGTCTACCCTCAGTAGAAAATTTAGTAACAACACTGTTGGTAACGAACCCTCCGATGCCGTATTTGATCCGTCTGGTAGCCAGGGAGACAATCGGGCTTCTACCCTTGTCAAAGGAAAGGGAAGGAGGGATAAAATGGTGGCAAAACCCAAGACACATGTAGAAAGTCCGTCGGGTGCGGGATCCTTTTCCCCTACATTTCTACTGCAACTGGCATACAACGTTGATACGTTTACGATGTTGGAGTCTAAAATATCGTACGCTAGTCCGAAACCGCGAACGTCAGCAGAACGTTTGATAAGTACTCCTCGTTGCCGAAACTCGTGTACTAATGGCAGTGTTATTTTCATTAATGCCACTAAGACTTACACTGCTCTTCCAAAGGAACATATGCTGGATAATATTCATTGGTTCAAGATATGCGTTAAATAACCTTATTGCTAGGCTTTCCCGGCAGCACCTTGTGAAAACTCACCAGGCTCGGTAGCTTGTCGACTGAGAAGTCTGTTGCGTGTTGCTCGATCCACTCAAGAGGTTAGCCAAGCTTTTCTACGTTTTGTTTGTAAGCTCAAACGCACTGGAGTTATGTTACACTTAGCACTCGCTTTCAGGGAGACACTGAAATTACGGGAGGCTGTGCCATATGGATGCCCCTCGTGAAAATGGTGAAAAGAGCTCTCAGTGGGTTTTCAGGTGGTCAGCCTATAGTGACGCAGGCTCGTAGCTAGCTGACGGGCGTAATTCGCAACTTAACGTGGAATTCCGGGGCTACCGGAAAAGCAATCGCCAGGTAAACCCTGTGGTTGTCCGTATCCTAACTGGGGGCTAGATGAATGTAGATCGGCCTTTAGGGCTGATCGGATCCCAAGGAGGATCACTGTCAGTACCTCCGTCCAACGCAGCGCATTGGCATCGCTAAGTGAAGCGTTCAGATTTCGGTGGAAAGGTTCCACCATGCCGTTCGCCTGCGGATGGTAGGCAGATGTGCAAATGCGTCGGCAACCAAATATTTTCAGAAGGTCGTTAAAGGTCGGAGATTCGAATTGCGGACTGCGGTCTGTAGTCACTATAGCTGGACAGCCGTGTGCAGCGAACCAGCGCTCCAAGAAAGCGCGCGTTACTGTTTCCGCAGCTACTTCAGGAATGGGAACGGCTTCGGGCCAACTGGTACAACGATCGGTCATGGTCAACATGTAGACCAGATGTGCATGGGCAATCGCGCTGAAACGGACGGAAAGCAACATAGCGGAGCGGAAACGTGCCGCTGAATCTTGTCTTGCTGACAGGTGAGACAGCTGCGTGCCCAGCGCGTAAGATCGCGTTGCATCCCCGACCAAACGTGTCTCTCGGAGACATGCTTGGCAGTAGCTCTAATGCCTGGGTGGGCACTATTATAAAGGGTGTCGAAAACGATACGACAAAAAGTTACTGGAACGACCGGTCGAGGTCGTCCGGCAGATGTGTCATATAAAATGGTACCATTAGATGGCGGTAAACGGTCTGGGAATATCTTCAAAAAGAATCAAGGGGGGACGAAAAGCTTTGGTCATTTGATTACGCGGCAGCCATAGCAGCCAAATCGATTGGCTGCCTGGCTGGGCCGATCACACATACACTTGAAAGCGCATCAGCCAGGACGTTATGTCGACCGGAAAGGTGTCGGATATCAGTCGAGGATTCGGTAATGCAACCCAGCTGACGGATCTCACATGGTGAGTGTCGAGTTGATTGATTTCGGAAGGCATATATAAGCGGTTTGTGATCGGTGAAGATAAAGAAGGGTACCTTCAAGGACATGTCGGAAATGTCGAACCGTAGACTGAACGTGCCGTGCTTACTTCGGCAGGTTGTAGTCGTTTAGCGTAGAAAGCAAGAGGTTTCCAGCATCCATCTGTAGGTTGCTTTAAGGCGGCGCCAACGGCGGCGTTCTATGAGTCAACAGCAACAATGAGCAGAGCGTTCGGATCTAAATGATACTGCATGACGGCACTGGCTAAGGCTTCGTTGCCGGCCTTAAACGCTTCGGTAGCAGCAGCAGTCAGTTTCACCTGACCGTTTTTACGTCCACAAAGTAGCTCGGTTAGTGGACTTAGCAAATTGGCACAGTGTGAAAGAAAACGACGCTAATAGTTGAGTATGCCGTTAAAACGGCCAATAGCAGCTAATGTAATCGGGACCATAATGTCTCTGATGGCGCGGACGCTATCGTCTAGAGGCCGTATGCGAAACTGGTCAATACGATGTTCAAGAAATCCAGTGGAAGGCTGCTGAAATACGCATTTGTCACGGTTGACGGTGATGCTACTAGCGGCCAGCTTATCGAAAAGAATGCTATGATGTTCTGCGTGTTGCTCTTTAGAAGCACTGGCACCTAGGATATCGTCGATTTATGAATAGACAAAATCTAGGCCTCTAGTGACTGGATCGTAAAAAAGTTGAAAAATGGGTTGCGTTGCGAAGACGGACGGGCAGAAGCAAAATTCGAAGAGCCCAAAAGGCGTGATTAAATCAGTCTTCGCTAGGTCTTCCTCCGCGACTGGAATCTGGTGATACAAGCGAACCAGACATATTTTTGAGATCATCCTGGTGCCGCGCAGGCTTGCCGTAATGTCCTGAATGTGAGGAATAGGATAGCGGTCGTGAAAATTAACGTTATAGAGGGCGCGGTAATCACCACATGGACGATAGTCTCCTGACATTTTGGGCACCATGTAGTGCGGCGACGCCCACGCGCTTTTAGATAGGTTGGACGATGCCTAGTTGGAGCATGTGCTCGAATTCTGCGTGCGCAACTTTTAGCTTGTCACGAGGCATTCGCCTGGTTTTGGCGAAAACAGGCGGACCTCTGGTAAAGATGTGATGTTTTGCAGCATCATTGGCAGATGGAAACGGTACCATTGCACGTAAGACTTTCGGGGACTCGGTATTAAGCAGCTGACGGATAGGTGAGCTCGTTATTCCGAGGCCCGCATCGTCCTTGGAGTCTTACTTCACCTCATTGTCCTAACAACCACGCTTGGCTATAGCTTAAGTGCGACGTTAGTCGTATGGCGAATGCCCATCCGAATGGGTCCCTATATATGGCTCCACAGGCAGGGAGCTGAGTCCCTACCCGAGGCCAAATTCGAAGCAACGGCCTTCATTCCTATGGTTTTTGGGTGTAGGTAGTGATGACAAACACACCTAATAGCTCTGCGCGACTTCGAAGCTTTGAACGGGGCAGCCAGTCGGACCGCACACATCCGTCTAGTGATTGGGATGCAAAGCTGTGTACCATTTGGCTGCCAAATTGTATCTACCTGCAATGATCCATTGCGCATGTCGTCCGCATCACTGCAGGTAAGTGCACAGCATATATTCACCTGACTTTTGGACCGCCAGTAGACATGCGCTGCCCGGATTCCTTGTTTGGCGGTGCAAGCCTGTCTCGGCGTGCGTGATGACCTTCTTTTTACGGGATGCAGACCATATCTCAGTATTCAAGCTTTGTGGGTTACGAGCGATTGCACGCTCACCTACAAGGTCGGGAATATTTGTGAATGGTTTGAACGTCATTACCCATTATCGCATTATGCACCAGTACTTCTATTAGCCAAATGCGTTAAACATTGGCTTAAGTGTGATACTTTACTATGTCATTTTGGTACCTCCGTACTTGACTCCCTTTGGTTG